ACTGCTGGCTCAAAATGGCAGCCAGAAGAACAACACGGCTCCTTGCTGACCTGACTGGATCAAACTTCGATCAACATGTTGTCCTATCAATGTTCGTTGTTGTCGGGGTGAAGGCAGCATCTGGTTTACAGAAGCTGCCATGTTGTATTTTTGTAACCAGAGTCTGTGCACTAGAGCTGTGGAGGTTTAAGCCCCGCCCACTGGTGTCACATGAAATAAATCACGACTGTTAAACTTATTAGAGAAATTAATAACTGAACAGTGGACATTTGAAAAGTACAACTTTTGGTTTGTTTACATGGAGGGGGCGGGACTTACAATCTGTCCATAATAATAATCTTATTAACAACAACAACAACAACAACAACAGCAACAACAACAACAATAATAATAATAATAATAATAATAACAATAATAATAACAACAATAACAATAATAATAATAATAACAATAATAATAATAATAATGGCAGTCTTTGGGTCAAACCAACACAAACCCAACAGTTTTAACCAACAGCTGAGTTATCAAAACAACCCAGTACTTTTTAGTGTGTTTGATACAAGTTGTCAGAAAAAAACACAAACAATAATCAATACCTGGAGTTGTGTGGCTGTGTTTTGGCAAAATAAACAAACAAATAAATAAATAAACTATTTTCTGGAGCTCGGGGTCGGATTATTTTGAACACGAGGAAACTGAGACCGCTCAAACATTTTGAGATCTTTGGGAAACTCCATCACTGTCACAACCCAAAAAAAACCCACTTCAAAAATGACCGAACTGTCCCTTTAAAAGCCCAAATCCAGGAGATCCGCAGGATCTGATCCACCAGAGTCTGGATCTGATCCAGCAGAGTCTGGATCCTCCTCCTGCTCCTCTGATGAAGAGGAGGGACTGGATGAAGAGGAGGAGGAGGAGTCAGGCCGTCAAGGTGAGCCTTTGTTCCGGTGTCAGCAGGAGCCGGGTGACGAGCAGCGGCCGCACGGATCAGAACCGGACCCAGCCGAACCTGTTCCCGGGTCTGGACTGGAGGAGCTGAGCGGCACCTCCTCGGATCTGAAGGTGGGTTCAGCTGCTCCTCATCCTCAGAACCTGAAGGATCCTGAGGGTTCCTCTGGGTTCTGGTCCCGTCAGAACCTCCTCCAGAACCTCATCATTTAGATCTTTTATTATATTTTTATTTTCTGATTTGCATGATTTTATATAAAAAATACAGTTTTTGGAGGAATTTTTTTTTTTTTAAAGGAGTAAAATAAACAAATAAATAAATAAAACCTGCAGCTGCAGAACAGGATCTAAAGATAAAGACTCGTCACTCCCTGAATGCATATCGCCCGCCACCGGTGTTACCGCTCGGACTGTGTGGTGGGGGTGACTCTCAGCTACTACCACACCAAAGTTCATCGAGACGTGTAAAAATGGACGAGTTTCAGTTTTGAATGCAGTAAAATTAATTAGCCGTGGCAGCCATTTTGAGTCAGACCGACTCTAAAAGTCAATCAGTTGTAGAAGTAACTCTGGAGATTACTTTCTGAGAGTCGCTCTCTAATTCATCCAGTGGTTTAAGAGATATTTTACTAACAGACAAACCCACACAGGCAAGTCTGAACTTCTTTTTCTTTGTGATTCTGGCGTGTTTTTATTTGTCTAAAGTCACCGAGCTGAAATCAAACCGTCAAATTAAAACGTCTCTCCACTCATTCATCATCTCGTGTCTGATTGTTAGCAAAATATCTCACCAACGATTCAGTGCAGTTTAATTTAACCCTCAGACGGAAGAAACAATTCAAGATGGCTGCAGCAGCTAATCAACTCAAGAAAACACAAAAATGGCTACAACTTCATGCAGTCAGTTTTACGGCTGATGAGCTAAAATGTGGTGTGGTAGTAGCCGAGGGTCGTTCCCATCACTCACTCTGAGGGCGAACTGACTGAGTGAAACTAAGTTTGTTTAAGATTTGATCAAAAAGGCTAAAATATCATAATTAAAGAAGTTACATTTGTATTTGTTACTAAAATAAACGTTTCCGTGTGAAACAACATTTTCTGCTCGGAGTTCTTTCTGAGGTGGGAAAAGGAACATGTCTGTGCTCCAGGACTCCGGGGTGACCTCAGGGGTCATTTTGACCCAAGAGCAGCAGGAGGGTTCAGGATGATCAGCAGATCTTTTTGAATTCCGACCGTTCTTGAGCTCACCTGAGAGATTTCAACATCTGGAGCAAACAGCTGGCAGGGACGGCCGAGCGAGCAGCTTTTACTCTACGTGTGGAACAAACGCTCGCTCTCCTCCAGCTCCTCCAGACATCAGCACCTTGGACCTCGGCTGATGAGTCACCGCTGCCGAGTAGTTTTAAATTACGACAGACGGCGGAGCACGAGTCCCAGAGGTGCTGCAGGGGCGGACGACAACATCAACACTTCCACTCCAGCTATAAATGGGATGCGGTCCGGGGGTTCGGCTGCGAGAGGAGAAACACTTCAGCGCTGGAGGAGGTGCTTCAGTCTGATGAAGATGTCAGGTTTTCTGTTTGACGGCACTCCTGAGGTGGAATGATCCTCAGACTTTACAGCTCCGAACGGATAACAAGCTGATCTTTTCTGCAGCTTTTTACAGGACTGGTTTTTCTTTTCTTCTTCTGACAATTGGATCGTGACAGAAAAAATAAAACCTTGGATCCAAGCAGCTGAAATGAGCTTCCTCCTTAGAGACAAGAAGAGGAGCTCCATCATCCAGGAGGAGCTGAAAGTAGAGGTTAGATCACAATACGATTCAGTCTTAGATTAATCACGATACAATTCAGTCTTAGATTAATCGTGACACAATTCAGTCTTAAATTAATCACGATACAATTCAGTCTTAGATTAATCGCAATACGATTCAGTCTTAAATTAATCGTGACACAATTCAGTCTTAAATTAATCAAGATACGATTCAGTCTTAAATTAATCGTGACACAATTCAGTCTTAGATTAATCATGATACGGTTCAGTCTTAAATTAAGCACGATACGATTCAGTCTTAAATTAATCGTGACACAATTCAGTCTTAAATTAA